AAGGCTTACAATGTATTTCCACTTTTGCAGTCAAATTTGAGAAAACTTTGTCATGTGCTCCCATTCACACAGTATAATTTTAAAATAAATATTTCTTATCTTTTCGATGTTTCCTTGGAACGCGTCTTTGGGAAGATTGTAAACTACAGTAATACCTCGGTTCACGAACGCTTCTGTTCGCGAACAATTCGGTTTGCGAACAGGAAGTTCGGCAAATTTTTGCTTCCGTTTGCGAACTCCAAATCGGGTGACGAACACGACTGCGGCCATCTTCTGACACGTGGTCGTGGCTTCCTCTAGTCGAGATCATGGTCGCAGACAGACCTGTGCACACTTGCTGTGGAGCTTTTTTTGTGTGCTTTTTAGCACATACTGTACAGTATTATTTAATCCAGCATGGCTCCAGAGAAGTGCAGAGCAAGCATGGTGGTAAAAAGAAAGTGCAGAGCAAGCATGGTGGTAAAAACAAAGTGCAGAGCGGTAATGAATTTACAGATGGTTCTGAACAGATTAACCTCATTTACAGTACATTGAACCGTTTGAGAAAATGTGATTCTGTGCGTGACCAAAATCAGTTCGAGACCACGTTCGTAAGGGTCAAAATGGATTAACCTTATTTACATTGAACCTTATGGGGAAATTTGATTCGGTTTGCGACCAAATCGGTTCGCGAACCAGAATCGTGGAACAAATTAAGTTTGTGAACCTAGGTACCACTGTACTCTGAACAATTTCACAATGAGTCTGTACATAAGGACACAGAGTGATTTTTATCCTGAGTAACATACAATACATCTAGATCTTTAACCCTTTGTTAGGACAGACAATGTTCAAATCTAGTTTACAACTGACTTTGGGATCTGCCAGCACAGTACAGGCAGGGTTAATTATGGTAAACGTTAACTACCCAGCCCATTTCAGCTTCCTCCTTGAAATGACAGAGAATGGAAACATTTCAGGTTTGTAGTTTTCCAGGGTGTAAAATAAAAAATGGTAAGCAACAATTTTTAAATATTTATTTTTTAAAGTAATGCGTTGTGAATGGGAACATGTAACAACTAGAAAATAGGTGGTTATCCAAATTTGGCAGCAAAAGTGGAAATACACTTTAAGCCACAGTAATGATATACACAGATTTAGAGAATACATTTTAAATCACTCCAGCAGCCATTGCTAAATTAGTAACTGGCATTATTTATAGCTCTCACTGCAACACAGATAACAAAACAAAACCCTTAGGCAAAGCACAGATGTTGACCAGTGACAGATAGTACTTTTCGTTAATTATTTAAGAACCGACTGCAAATTCCTGGACTTGTTTTTGTATAACAGGTTTATACAGAGCAGCAAATTCTAGAGGGTCAATATAAGCAATTCTATAAGGAATTCTGGTAACATGGCCAGGACCATAATTGAAGTTGCTTTTGCAGAAGTGCACACATCATCATGCATTTCCTAGCTGCTGTCATTGGCCACAGAAATGACTGCAGAGGGAGGTAGAGCTTGCCATTGGAGAACTTAAGAATTACAACAGGCCAGAGCTCCACACTACCAGCACCAACCCAAAACTGATAAATCAGACTTGGGTAAAGGACATCTTAAAGGAGTCTAAATGAAACATATGAATCCATCACCTGCAAATCTGGAAAAGTCTTATATAATGGTAAATGAGAGGAGTGCGGGCCTGCTTGGTGTGTTGTGATTTATTGTGGATAGTCCATAGAGGTTAGGTAAGCAGTTATTTAGTCCTGGGAGCCCTTGAGAGCAGTCCCTGTGGAATGGTAGAGAAGATTGAAGAATAAAAACACCACTCCACTGCTAAAAATCCAGAATAAATGTTGTGTTCAATGAGGTGAGCCAATATGTATTAGTGGCTACAAGGAACTGCCTTCATCATGGCTGAAAAAATCAAGGAGTAGGGTCTAAACTAGGCTGAGATTTCAATAAAATGAATGGATGTTATGGACTTTCACAGCATCTGTTTCCACTTTTTCAATCCTTCAAGAAGAAAAATGTGAGATATTGCAGCTTACCAGTCCTTGAATGGGGTGGACGCACTAGTTTTCATTTTTCATGTTAAAAACGTTTCCAGCAAGTACAGAAAATACCTGTTGATCCTGCCAGAATTGCAGCGTTCTTGTCACTTCATGTGAGCTGAACTAGAAGCACAAATAATTTTATCTTTTTTTCTGTAAACTACTAATTCCATCATCCTTTTGTAATGGAGAATGTTATATATAGAATTTGGATATAAATATGGAGCAAAGGCGATATCACACCCAGAAAGGAAACGTATAATAATGCGGCAAAGATAAGGGCTTTTAAAGGGCAGTGATCCTTCCTTCATATTGTGGCATATAATCAAGACCTGCCTTATAAACTTACCAGCAATATTGATTAATTATCCAAAGACCATATAGAGTCCCAAAAATGCGATAATATAATGATGTCATGGTATCAAGGAGTGCCAGTATTCCTCAATGCGTTTCGCACCCAATATAGGGGCTTCTTTAGGAGGAAGGAGGAGGATGCTCTTATATAATAGAGATGCAGAGAGTAAAGCTGTCCATAATCTAAATTAGCACAGTGGCTGCCACTGTCGTCACCCTTCCGGTCGGCATCCCTCGAACAGCTGATTGAAGGAGCCGTTTAGAAAAATGTCCAAACTTAAAGAGCTCGCAGCCAGTGAGCTGCTGGCTCTGTTCGGGTATTTGCCGGGGGACAGCAGTGGATTCCTCGATCAACACTTGTAAGGGTTGATGGAAGAATCGGTTCTATTTTTTTCATTTGGTGGGTTGAACGAAAACATAGAACCATGTACGGCCAGCTTAAGACAAGTTTGAAGTCCAGCCTGGGTTACAATCACGACTCCCTCCATACATATACTGAATTAAGTGAACATAGCCTCCCAAACACAGGAAATATGTTATTTGCAGGATTACTGGGTGACAATAAAGGAAAGAAAGCCAGAAAAAAAGAAATTAATACAACTACCACATCTGAGGTCTGGTAAGCTTCACTATTACATTTAGTTTAAATATAAGTTAAAATATGTATAATCCGCGCTTTATAGATCGATATGGATACCTCAATTAAAATATCAAGAATAAATGAATAAATGAATGAATGAATACCTCTATATTAGAGCTGCTGTACTAGGGACACTAGGGTCAGATAGTATATAACTGGATGTGCAGCGCTCAGGATTATCAGTGAGTAAATAAAATCAGTGTTGGCAAATGAAACTTAATAAGTGTTAATAATCAATAATAACCAGTGAAATAAAAATCTCAAATCGTGCACAAATACATGAAATAAATAAAATGTACAATTCTGAATATAAAACCAAAAATGTGAAAAATGTATAAAAAATCTCAAGCTTATCAAAGTGATATATAGCAAAGTGAATGCCAAAGTGAGTGAAATATATATTTAAATAATCGTTGATAGGATGTGAGTCCAAAAATAGATAATTTGTGGATCCAAAATCTGTAAAAATATAAATAATTCGTTGATTGGAAAACCTCTGTGCGGGGCTACACTTCTCGGTATCATACGCAACCAGGAAGCACAGAGGTTTTACTCACAGACGTGTGAGCGGCCGTTTTTAGCAATTTTAAATGTAAGTGGCTACTTGTTGTGTTTAATAAAGCATGCTATCGACTACACCATGAGGAGTTTTTGTCCCTTTTATATTTTTGTGACTAAATACTGATCCATATGGTGAGGACGAGACGTTTGGAGGATCACCAACTATCATCTCCTTCTGCCTGTGAATATCCTGGTCTGGTGAGTGCGCATCCCAGAGGGGACCTAGACGTGGACACTGCGGTGTGGGATTTCTATTATTTGTTACAGACACTGAAAATTTAAACAGTTTTTGGCATTCACATATCATCTATTTTTTATTCACTTCCAATCAACAAATTATTTATATTTTTACAGATTTTGGATCCACAAATTATCTATTTTTGGACTCACATCCTATCAACGATTATTTAAATATATATTTCACTCACTTTGGCATTCACTTTGCTATATATCACTTTGATAAGTTTGAGATTTTTTATACATTTTTCACATTTTTGGTTTTATATTCAGAATTGTACATTTTATTTATTTCATGTATTTGTGCACGATTTGAGATTTTTATTTCACTGGTTATTATTGATTATTAACACTTATTAAGTTTAATTTGCCAACACTGATTTTATTTACTCACTGATAATCCTGAGCGCTGCACATCCAGTTATATTTAATATATATGGTTATATTTACCATAAAAATTGTGAAAAGCAGCAACCAGTAAAACATGATGCCATTTAGGCCCTTTGTTGCTGACTGGCTGGTTGTGTGCCATGAGCCAACCCAGTTTGAATGTCTGTGTGTAATTCGTGCTTTAAATTAAAGTCTCGGTGTAAATTAGAGTTCCTGAAAGGCAGGTATATTGTCAGAATACATGATAACCATGCACAAGACACTCAGACTCCTTAACTCGTATCAAGAAAAGAAAAAAAGCAAATTACATATACTGTAGTAGTACAACTGTATTTGGTCTTTTCCAATGCATTTTCTAACATATTAGAATGGAATTCTCCATGAAACTGAGGACTCCACCTTGGACCATCATTTCTAATGGTCGATTTGAACTTTTTTGGGAAGTAAAGGGGATGAAGAAAACATTCAAATCCTTTCCTAATATTTGACTAGCCTGTAACCCAGCCCAGCTTCCAGTTCACTATACCCAGATTAGTAAAAGATGAATTCTCATTGGTTGTTATGGGTCACTGCACTTCATGCATTTCCCTTTGCCTCGCTGAATAAGCCTAATACTGCAGAGAGAGTTCTGTTAAGGAGCAATTCATTTAATTGGTGTACAACGCAGATGCATAAAATGCACTTGGCTGGTTTACTGGTCCTTTAAGTGTAATTAGAAAAGGCAGAGATTCTCCTGGTGCTAGAACTCATTAAGAAGAAGAATAGAAAGGCTTTTCACTCACTGGGAGGTCTGTTGCCTGACAGGTTTTTGAAGTGGCTGCCTTTTATCACTTCTGCAGAAAGTCTGCCCGTGGTGGCGTTATAAAGCAGGCCGATGAGGATTTCAGGAGCAGCGTTGTGGACCAGTGATTGACAGGAGGAAGAGCTTTCCATACATGACACTTCTGACATACTCATCTGGGAATCACAGCCCTGCAACCACAAACAGAGATTATAAGAGATCCGTGTGCAGAGGAAAAAACCTGGACTGCTTCAATAAGCTGGATGAAGAATAGGATTACTTACATAGTTATGTTGCTGAAAATAAGACATGTGCCCATCCAATTTAACCTTAACAAATCTGTACATCTTTGTACATGACAGCTGATATAGAGAGATGCAAAACCCGTATAAAACCTGATTTGTTATGTCTTAACAGATATAAAAGAAAAATCCTTACTATTGGCAATTTTATAAATCCCTGTATCAATGTACTATGTATGATTTAAAGTAACCCTTTGTATTGAGTTCCATTAGAAAAGCATCAAGCCATTTCCTGGAGCACTGAATGGCAGGTACCCTCTGTGCCCCACAGGGCCTATTAACACCAGGACACAATGCTCCATAATACATGCATTTTTGTGTGTTGTGGAGTGTTGCATTAGGCAGCCCAGTCAAAATGAATGTTTGAGAACTTACATGTAACGAATGAAAACTGGGGTCATGTTGCATTTTTTGTAGCTCACAGCCCTGATGAAGGGACCCTGCGTGGCCCCGAAACGTTGGCTTCTTGACACATGTGACATATCAATAAAAGTGCTATCCTTTTTGCACATTACAATTGAGTTCTGGTGACTACTATCTTTATTTGTGGTGCGCTGTGGCGCGTTCTGGAGATGCATTAAAATTGAATGGCACCGCAATGCACTAGCGCTTACTGGTCAGCACCACCAGCTACTGCTGCAGTTCCCCAATGGTACTATGGAAATATCAATCTTTCTGAAAGTTCATGTTTGCATATTGGTAGGCATACCTACCACACCCATCTTGGAGTGCTCGGTCCTCAATAGGTTGCGCAGACACTTAGCACTGCAATGTGGGATGGGGGAGAAAAAAACACACACATCTGCCATGCATCTAGCAGTTTGGTTTCACCAATCGCCCTTTAAGAGATAACTACTGTATTCTTTACAAAAAAAAAAACTCACAGAGGTATACATCTAGAAAATTCTCATAGCTTATTAATTCAGCAAAACTGCAGGTACATTAAATCTGTGCTTGTTAGCCAATGTTTGTGTAAATGGGGCAACATGAATGTTAGTGTATTTTCGCTTGAATGTTCTTTAATGAGTTAATCCATGAAGCTCATAGTGAATGGGGAAAATACTGCATTATGGCCATTAGATGGAGCTTAGGGTCAAAGGAAATAAAGACATGTTAGTAATGAGATACAATTTTAGAATTCTAGATATCAATGGAGGGAATGATAATATAAATTTAACTAGGGATGCACCGATACCATTTCAGATACCAGTGCCGATACTTGGCATTTTCATGAACTACCAGGTTTGCAACGGCTGCCGCTGGGGCATAGCTCTGGCGCTCCACCACTGTCCTTAAATCATTAGTCGATATTGTTTTAGAAAAACTGTCACATGACACTAAACAAAAATGTATCAGTACTTGTATCTGTGAGTACTTGGAGAAGTATCAGTAGTTGTACTTGCAAAAATGGTATCGGTGCATCTCTTTATATATGTTTATAAAAACAAAATCATACATGAAAACAGATGTACAAATCCCAGGAGCTCCGTGTCCTCCTTACAAATAACAGCTGCCTCCTAACTTTGGAATTTTTCTCTAGTCTAGTCTTGGAGCTCGAAAAGTATTGGTACTTGTACCGAGTACTGTACTTGGAATCGGTGTATCACTAGCCATAATGCAGTATTTTCCTGATTCACTTTGTTCTTTGTGAATAAACCTATTGAAGAACATTCCACCAGAAGAGAAACTACACCAAGAAATTCATTTTTGCCCCATTATTACAACTGATTTACTTGCACAGAACAAATGGACCTGCAGTTTCGCTGGATGAATAAGCTATGCAAATTATTTATACAGAGACCTTACAATGTTGACAACCACACACTCCACTGCAATACGCGCAAGTATGTGAGCCCAAGCAGCAGACATTGGCTGAGGTCTGTCTCAGGCCAGCCATTATTTTCAATTAGCCAGCATGAGGTAGAGTCCATTAGGTAGAGCTGGTTGCGGACATAGCCAGTCATTCATAATGGGAACAACACTGTGTCCAGGTTGTGCAGTGCACCAGTACTGTTACTGAGGTAACAAAGTACTTACTGACTGTTTACAAGGCAGCTCAAGGTTGCCCGACGATGTTTTTTTTTTCCTTGTAATAGTACAAATATCTTTAAGAGGAAACAAATACGTAGTCCACAATTACTGACCTAATCTTCTGTCCTGGTTATTTAGATTATCTGGCTTCAATAAGGTTTGAGTCAAATATGCAGATCAGGAGATCTGGCTTAGCTTTCTGCATGCTTGTTCCTGGTCACAGACTCAGAAAGAATTCAAACTAAAGACAGTAAGGTAGCTAGCAATTTCAGACCAAGGCCAGCAATGGTAGCCCACACAGTTGTTTAATAACATGCTTTCTTTAATTAAAATGCTAGTACATACTACTGTGGTATACTTCCAGTAAGTCAGAGCCTTTCTCTAAAGCCTCATTCACACAGCTAAGTGTCGGTCTGTACAGATCCATGCGGCATGCACGGCCATGTCAGGCCGTTCCCGGGAAGGACAGGTGCTGCGTGTGATTGTACGCAGCAGCCCGTTCTTCTCTATGGGGTAAGCAGCCGTACACTCACCCGAGCTGATCCTGTCTGCGTCTGAGCATGGACACCCGCAGCAGCATGGATGTGCAGTTCGGGTGAGCATACGGCAGCGTACGGCCGCGTCCTCCCATAGAGAACAACAGGCTGCTGCGTACAATCACACGCAGCACCTGTCCTTCCCGGGAACGGTCCGACACAGCCATGCAGCACCTGTCCTTCCCGGGAATGGCCCGATACGTCCGTGCACGCCGCACGGATCTGTAACGGCCTGACACTTAGCTGTGTGAATGAGGCGGAAAGCAGATGGATGTCACAAGCTAATCCTGAATGCTATGTACATTTCCTAATGTACTGGGTTCTATGCATAAACAAATAAAAATCTCAACATTTCCCGCCTATGTACACCATCCATGTGTTCCATGGACAAGTGTCAACAACACAGTGAGTCACAAAACAAGAGATGTTTTCTGAAAAACCTGCTCTTCTCCATCACTTGACATTAATTTAGGCAGACAGAACAGAGAAGGTGTCAGTCACAGCAGGTATGACTATAAAACTTGATAAACAATAAACCTGGGCACCCAAGCTCTCTGTGGCTTGTTGTTTGCTATGCTCATAAACATCATTAGTTTGCTGAAATGATAGTGAGTGCCTTATTTAGACACACTGGCAGGATTTTCAAGTTTTATACAAAGCCATATGATCCCACAACATTGACAGCAGACATAGATAAAGTGGTCCATCCATTCTGCCATTATCGATACTTGTTAGGAGGTTGGTATAATAATCTTTTGTTTTATGTGGATGCCGAATAGCCAGGTAAAGTGGACCTATTGTCAAATGTTAAAGCCCATCTCCGAGCAAAATTTACACCCCCACCCGCCTCCATACAATTGTTTTTTCCCAAAAAGCACAGTTGTGTGACCCTCCTATAGAATAAAAGACAGATGATCCCCAATGCAGTCCCTCTCTGCCACCAACCGGTTTCCACTCCTCTCGGTGAGGTCATCACTTCTTTTTAGTAGAGTTGACAAGAGTTTGTGCTATTTGTTTCTTCATGGGGAGATTTCCTCTCACCTCCTATTCCAGGTGATACAGACACAAAATAAAAATATCCGCAACACGGACCCAGCAATAAAAATGGACTGCTGTTCTAACCCATCCCCAAGCTACCCAAAAGTAGAGAAAAATGTAGTCTATAAAGCTGAACTTTGAGCAAACAGCTAAACGCACAATTAAAAAACACGATGGGAGCTATTCTACCTGGCAAAGTATGTGTATTTCTGTCCACAAAGTCTGCAGATTTACCAGTCCTGCCACACAGCACAGCCAACATGGTGACCGGACTATTCTATCCTGCAGTTAAGAAATACAGTTAGGCCCCCGGTCTGTGATTGGATAGTTAAGAAGCAGCAAGGTCATCTCACTACACTTGCCTCCTATCAGCATATTCCTTGTCAAACATGTGCATGCAGCACACCTGATTGACTGCTGGTGCTGTCCCTCCTTCTCCCAGTATGTGTTCTACTATACAGGGAATTAACCCTGAATAAAAAGCAATGCTGATTGTATCACTTCTGACTCCTCAGCTGTCATTCCCTGGCTAGGGAAGCTGGGGATGAAGCTATTCAAGAGCGACCAGTGCTTGAATTGATGGTTTGAAGTGGAAAGGTGACACCAGGGGTCTAATAGACCTTGTGAGGCTTTTCGGTTAAATAAATAAAAAAAAAGGTTTTAAAAATGAAAGTTAAATTAACCTCTTGCCGTCCGCCCGTAGTAAAAAAACGGACGGACGAAAATTGAAAAATATTTTTAAAAAAAGGAATGTGGAATTCCCATTGTCGACAGCCGGGACATGCAGTTCCGGTTGCCAGGCGGGTAGTTTTTTTCTACATGTAGCCCTGCTTCGGACAAGCAGAGCTAAATGTAGAGCGGGGAGCCGCTGCAGGTTTTATACAAGTGATCTGATCAGATCACTTGTACCAACCTGAAGGTCTGTCCCCTCCCTCCCCGCCATGGTTTCCGGGGTCCCCCGCTCTTCTGGGGGACCCGGGACCACGGCAAATGAGCTCAGGATGGAGTGCGGGGAGCAGAGAGAAGAACGTCTGTTCTCCACTCTGCTCTCTGATCAGTGAGACGGTAATCACAGCGCCACCTGTCTTAGCTGTCAGAAACTGCACAGAAGATCTATTCTGTGCTGGAGGGCAGGTTCCATAAGGAGAACCTGTCACCTCCAAACTATCACATAGGGGCTTGTAATCCCCTGTGTGATAGCAATAAAATTAAGTGAAAAAAAATTAATTCAAAAGTGAAAGTAAAAACAATAAAATAAAGAAAAATTAAAAAAGTAAAGTTATA